AGTTGTCTCACTAACAGACCAACTATATACATCAAACGTGAAAACTGTTGCCCTTCAACTCCAGCAAATAAAAGAGTTGAATTTTAATGTCTTGCATTGTCCCTTTTTTCTGTCAAGTTAACATTTCTTGCAAGAATATGATTTCTAAGCAGAAATGAACAGTGTGTGTATAGGACGACTACCTCATACTGTTGATAAGGCCTTTTCTGGTCTCTTACAGAGAGATTTAGTCAATAAATAATCAACTACATGACCTATGGAGTGTAATAGTAAGGAATTTATGGAATGGTAAAAGGAGAGATGCTTTGTCCAGAGGAGTTTGCATTTGGCACCGGCACTGGTCAGTGTAGGCACAAGTTGGCCATAGTAAAGAGGGTACAATGGCAAGTAGTACTGCACTAGAGGTATTTGGTCTTCAAAGCTTTGGGCTCGCTGGTCTTCCCAGTAATGAAGTGCCTTCTCTTATGATGGAGCAGATGAAGGCAGGTTGGTCTGGTCTAACTGGTCCGTGTTGCTCCTGTGGTTAGATCTCCAAGGGTTTTGAAGAACTCCTCCATCTCCTGCTGGAGCAGAATATTTCGGTTTTCTGCATCTTGATGTGCCCGCTCTGAGTTCCTGAGTTGGATCTGCAGCATGTGAAACTTCTTCTTCTCCTGGTCCAGCTCTTCCTCAAGGCTATTTATCTGGGACTGGTACTTGGAACAGGACTCCTCCAGCCTCAAAGAAGAAAAGAAGAGGTGATAAATAACAGTTGATGATGATTTTTATAGGTTATTTGACAGGAAATGACAAGTGACTTGTTCTTACTTGCGAATGCAGGTTTCATAACTCGTCCTCTGTTTCTTCAGCTCCTCCTTGAGTTGGATCAGCATACTGGTGAGATCTACATTTGTTGTTGCAAGATCATCTTCAGTACCACTTGCACTGTGATCCAGACTGTCTCTCACTGCTGTGAGTCTTTCTTGACCTTGCCCTAATTTTACTGCCTTATCGCTTCCCTCTGGCTCAGCCAATGAGATCTCATAGGATGTCCAGATGCAGGAAGTATCAGAAGGCAGGCTTATACTGGAGGGGGCAACATTGTCATAGGCAGATATTCTGTGGGACTGATGCAGGGCTCTTTGAGACAGTGATGTTCGAGAGGATTCTTCATCAGTCTCTCTCTGTGAGTCCTTAAGTGAAGGAGTGGTGTCTTTCAAGGAGAGATTTGAATCCTTCAGAGACAAAGTAGAATCTTTCAGTCTTTCAGCAGATGAGGTGGCGCGCCTGTGAGCTCGGAGGGATGACAGGCCATTTATTAGCCAGTTGCTCCCACCAGTTGCTGACACGTCCCCTGCAGATCCCCCTATTTTCCCTCTTGTTCCCCCGGATGCAGCACTGCCCTTGAAGGAGCACCTCCAGGAGGGCAAGGCTTTAGATTGTTTACTGGGGCTAACGACTACTTCACTCCCACTTTTCACTTCAGTTTTGCTATCTGTTTTTCCATCCACTGTCTCCTCTGTTTTACTTTTGCGCTTCTCTTCAGTCTGACCACTCTCGCTCTTCTCTGATATTGTAATGGGGCTTGGTGCAGTTGGCTTACTGTCTGTAGAAGGGGTGGAAGATTGGGGTTTCTCTTTATCGGTTTTGGAGCCTGTGCCACAGGAGGATGCATGGTCATTGTCTACTTGTGAGAGCCATTCCACTTTGCTCCGTTGGATAGGGTTTTGCTGTTGCTGTGAGAGGATTTTGGTCTCCAGCTCATCATGCTGGTAAAGTTGGGAGTGTTCACTGATCAGCACAGTCATTAGGTGCTGCACTTGTGAGCTTCCTGTTTATAATGACAAACACATACACAGTATACACCTGCTAGAAATGTTTCATGGCTTTGTTGATTGGAAAGTATGTTTTTGTCATAAATGTTGCTGCAGATTAATATATGTATTAATTATCACCAACCCTCCATCATGGTAACTGGATCCTCCACTCTGGGTCGAAGGATATTGGGTCCAAACACAGTGGCTAGATTCTGAACACTCATTTTATTCTCACAGGAGTGAGACTGAACCTCATCCAGAAACCTGAACAGAAAGAAACCTGTTTGTGAGCATAACATACTGTATTTCCTCATACAATTTCAGAATCCACTGCACTGCTTTAAAATTGTCCACAACCCCTAGTTAGTTTCTATTCAGTAAAACTCAAACTCATAAAAATGGGGAACTGAGTCATGATTCTGTCTGGTGTGTGGGCTCTGCTCATTCATAAAGACACAGAAGGCAGAGAAGACATCCAATTAGACATCCACTCAGTCAGTCAATGTGATGTCACATCCCCTGATGACGAGAACGTGGGTGCAATGAATGTCATTTCTTTAGTATGACAGACTGACAAAGCCTCCGTCATCAAAGAGTGACTGGGAAACAACATCAACAGTGAAATTCATTACAGTCGCATCAGTGTGCTTAACAACTATTGATACATACAGGACACAACAGGACTGTATTTACTTACTTGCAGATGTATTTAAGGAGGTTGTAGTTGACCTGAGAAAGGGATTTCACCTGCTTCACTAACTCTATGATACCCTTGAACAAGAAAAACATATGTCAAGTGTCATGCAAGAGTTTGAAAATAGCAGCAGTGAGAAAGGCAGATATTTAATTACCATTTCTTTATCCTTAGTAAGTAGCTGAGCACAAGACAGAAACTGTGTGTATTTGGAAAATGGGATTATAGGCTCTGGTAGCTCCCTTATGTACAGCTTTAGCAGTGATGCCACTGTGTGGACATCTGTGGTACTGCGAGAGAAAGACAGTGCACATAAATAATACTATTCAGCACTGATTAGAGAGTAGCTTGCATGATGTTGTGGCTAAAATGCACTGTCCCGGTGCCTCACCTGTCAAACACTGGCTTTTCACCATGATCGAATGCATCCTGCAGCTCTCGAACGTGATTGGTTTGTCCAGGGGCCCTGAAAAGGCCCTCCTCCTTGAGGCCATGTTCACGTATGAAACACACACACTGTTCAACCACCACAGGAACCAGTCGCTGAGGGCCACACTGGGCCTCATACAACATTGTCTCCTCTAGGTGCTGCCCAAAAACACCTGCAGCCAGAACATAAACACTAATTGGGTCACTAATAGCTGGGAATGTTTCCTTATGTGTACCCAAGAGGTTTAATCCGCTCTTTAAAGCATTAATCATTAATTAGCTTAATAACCATAAGCAGTGCTGTACTCTATGTAGACATTTGTGAGTGACGCTATGTGTATGCATATGTTTGAGAATCACACCTCCTCCAAGTGGAGCCCATATAACCCTGCGTATGGCTCTGACCCATTCCTCCATGTCACTTTGAGAGTTGGCCATCAGCAGGTATGATTCATGGCTTATACCTGTTCGATCCTTTTCTCCATCACCCCCTGAAGACACAATCATATTTCATTACATTCTGGATCAATAGGACAAAATGACTAATGCATCTCAAAATCGCTGTGCTTTAAATATTTGGAATAATAGACCAGTTTTGCAGGTTACTTTGCTGATCACATAAACTGTATCATCTGTAAACAAGTTGGTTCTAACAGACAGAAATAGTATTTTCAATAACCTTATTAGGATGAGCATCCCTGCAAACTACAAAGACTCAGTCATGCAGCTCTGCCTCACCTTCCTCGGGGTGCACACAGCTTGGTATCACCCGCTCTGACATTTCAGTTTGACATTTTAGTTTATGTTAGTTTGGCTTTGAATACACTATGTGAAATGTTCCCGTTTATGTATGTGTTTTTCACTTGATTTTGAACAGGTGCAAATACTTCAGTTTTTAATAGCATCAAAGCTTCTATTCACAAAATGTTCCTATTTGTATACTAGTGGAAACCTTTTATAAGCAGGGGTGTTTGTGGGTTTGGTAGGGTACGCCTTGATGTGCATTCATTACTGAGTCCTGCATGTTTTGTGTGTGAGAAATGACCCAAAAAGATTAGTGTTCCCTATGGACACCAGCAACTGCACTAGGCCTCTCACTCTGTCTTCTTTCTCTTTCTGTCCAGGACCCATTCCTTTGTCTTTTCATTCAGTTTTTTTCTAACAAACTTCTTCTACAAAGCGACACTGGACATCATTTTAGAAGGCTGCAGTGATGCATTTGCATATTTCATCTCATTTACCACAAATTGCATTTTGATGCAACATTGTGTGGTTATCTATAGCTTCCCAAATTACTCGCTCTTGAAAAAGGTTTTACACCAAGATCTTTTCAATCCTGGCAACACAGAAAGCAAGAGAGAAAGATTATATACAGTACTTTTCAACAGTTCAGTCTGCTTTCAAAAGTACTGCAGTTGAGGAGCATTACAGTATTTCTACAATACATCCTCCTCTTTGATAAGTAAAGCTGAGAAAAATGTACTTACTACCATCATTAATGGAAGCCTCATCTTCAGGATAAACTGTTAGGGTGTTAGTCAACCTCCTGCCATGTTGAACCTGTTTTGCCAGTATAAAATAGAGGCTACAACTGAGCAGTGGTAGCCCTTAAAAAGACCAGACACGTGCAAGAGAATCTGTGCTGGCACGACTTCTGTGAGACACTACCATCACCCCCATTAACTATAAACTCTGTCGTATCTTCTAAGTATTAGATTCCTGTCTATCCAAGTATAATGTCCAACTTCTTTCTTTTGCTCTTTCTTTCTTCCATTCATCCAAGCAGGCCCTCTGATCAATGCTGTGCACACTGTCCAGTGGTGGCTGTAATCATGCCAACCCTACGCTGTCAAGATCAGAAGTGAATGAAGTTGTTCTTGGACCATCAGACACATGGCCGTGGCAATCACATCCTTTCTGTGGTTCTGCATATTATATGCATGTGTTACAGCCTGGGACTCAGGCTAGCTATTGACTTTTTATTTATTTATCACCTGAATTCTGAGTTAACAAGGTTTACACAGAAGATATAATGTACTGTATGTACAGTATGATCACTAGTTTCTAGCGATGCATAGAGATATTTCATACCTCAGGATTTAGTCTAACATACCATTTTAAATAAGAATCTAAAGTGGTTTTCTAGTACTAAACAATGTTTAGTATCATTTGAACAAGACTTATTCACTTCCTTACACAGCAGAGTTGCCATGTCAACTCACCTGGAACAATTTCAAAAAGGTGGCGACCATGCTCGTCCTGATTAGCAGGCAGCTCATTGACCTGGCTGCCCTGAAGAGGAATACAACCCTGTAGGAGAAACGAGAGGAAGACGTGAGATAGACAGATAGACAAACAGACAGAAAGGCAGGCGTGAGGAAAGCATTCGTATTGATGGTATTCAAGGGCCAACTAACAAATCAATTAGTGGTCCTGGACTTGGATGTGTAGTGCATATTAAACATAGAATTCTGAGCACACAGGCCTCTGGGCATCCTTCCAATAGAGGGAGGTAGTGATGACGGTGGAAGGATGACTCAGGGAAACATCTCTTCATCTATTTTTTCCCATGGTGCTTTCCGATGTACTTGCATTTCTGGTCCCTCAGCATAGAGAGGTTCAAAGGTCAATTGCTAAGTGCTTAAACCACAGGGCAGCTAGTTACCACATTGTCAGTGTGTGTGTGTGTCAGGGCAGTCACGTCTTAATGGAGGATTATTTTGTGTAAAGGATGAATGATCTGTTGAACTATAGTTTGACACAAATATATAAAGATAAGAGTCGGATGCTAAAAATAATAGTGGCACAATTCATAAAAGTGCTTTATTTTACTTGAGGGCTACAAAATGTAGTTTGTTGCCTGTTTTCAAAGAATCAATATACCATTTTCTGAGTAGGAGAAAACAACAGGTTGCCTGGCTCAGGGATAAAATGTTAATCAGATAAATTCATGAAGCTTGAATATGTATCAGGGTTTTTTTGAACATGAATTAAGCCAAATATACAGCAGTGCAGCCTCCTGGGGTGACAGTGAGTGTCACCTGTGCCTTGGTTTCATCCTGGTCCTTGTAGAAATACAGAGCTTCGGTCCTCAAGACAAACCAACGCAGCTGCCAGTTTTTCATGATGCTCCGCTGTCTCTTCAGCCAGCCTGCTTTCAGGGCTTTCTCCTGTTCCAGAGGAGAGCAAGGCCTGGACACCCGAGACAGCTCTCCAAGCACCATGCTCTTGGATCGTGCTGGATGGACACACATGAAAAGATAAAGTGAGGGAAAGGGCTTACGGGATTATGGGAATCAAAGTGAGAGAAAGGTGAAGACAGAGCATAAATGTTATTTTGTTCTTTCTTTGTTGGTTTGCCATAATTCTAAAAATTCACCCAGAGAGAATCCACTGTCATTATTCACACTCGTCTCCCTTGGGTGCAGCAGATGTCAATCATGGCCTCCATTTTGTAGCAAAGACATCTTGCTTTAAGATGAAATCCATCTATCTAGTCCAGTACATTTTATTATGTGTTTCAAATATTACTAAATGCTGTACATATATTATTTACAATTGCACTGGTATACAGAGAGAAATTTTGCTTTGGATCAGATTGCTTTTTAACTGCGGCAGACTAATTACAGGCATGGATTATATATTAGTATCTGTATGCTAAAGTATAGAGCAAAAACAGCCAATGTAGAGTGATCCCTAGAGAGTCAGGAGGAGAAAGAGATAAACAGAAGGCAGAGAGTAAAGAGAAAGAAATCAATGGTGTCTCTTTTCCTGTTAATTGCATCTCGCTTTTGGCTGAGAACAGCAGAAAACATCTCTGTAACAGGCCAGGACTGAAATCTTTCTGTTTCTTTCTCTCTCTCTCTCTCTCTCTCTCTCTTGTTATCAACTCTCTGTCTAGACTCCTGATTTTACTCCTCTCCTTTTTGGATGTCCTTCATTTGCACAGTAATGATTGCTGGGAAGGGAAAAGAGTGGAGATCACGTGAGGCGGTCATTAATAAAACTGATGCTGACAGCAGAAACAGGCATAGTGGGATCTATAAATACAGCAGACACTGCATCTTGCACATCTGTAAAAACAAACATTTTTTTATCAACTGAGGTGGAGCTACTTTTAACTATTTTATATACTTTAGGGTGGTTTAATCTACACATACTGATAATTTCTCATCCAATCAGATAACAGAGAGAAGCTTCAGTCACATCTGATTACTAAAATTACCAAGAGCATCTTCCTGTAAAGCTCCACACTCCTTAACTGCTTAAGATTCAGGCTTTGATAACTACTAAGCTTCTGAGTGCAGATCCAGCTTTGTGATGCTGTCTAAATTTGCCCTGAATGATGTTGCATAAAAGGGTCAGAGGAGAGCAGAGTTGGGAATCTAATCAAAGAAGAACACCATTACAGCAAATGAGAGATGGCAAGCGCACAATACGTGGCAAGCAAACTGAAGTGGCCAATGCACTTTCCAAGTTTATGAAGGGGAAATAAGAGGCACTTCTCCTTCCCATCATCTTTTATGGTTTTATTTTTATGGCTAGTCTAGGAAAGACTGCCAATGAAGCAAGAACCTTGCCTAGACACAAGAACAAGAGTAAAGGCTCCTGATGCTGCTGCTGCTGCTGCTAGCCAAAGTTTCATACAAAAATGTGAAATTAATACAGGGAGATCCGAATTCCACACATATACTTTTATTTTTTGTCAGGATGGACATGCCTCTGAAACAGCGATCAATTTTCTTGAGACAATCTGGCACTGTCACAGCTCCCCAAGCCACCTGAAACAGTGTGTGTCGGTTGTCTATAGCAACCACTTGCTATGAAAAGCACAAGTATTTTTACTCTGCACCATAATAATCCCACTACCAGGAGATGTTCAGCTTCCATATTTATCTTGGCACAGTCATGTGAGAGGCATGCATATGTATTGTATGTATCAAAAAACATCCGGGTTGCAAGCGAGAGCAGACGTCTTTACTGCTCTTCTTGTCTGTTCTACGATTTTTCACATCTTCTACATTTTCAAGTCTTAGAACAAATTCTACAACTAAGAAAATGCCTCCAAGAGGGAAAAGAGCTAATAAATCAGAAGC